AACATCAATAGAGGAATTTTCAAGGTGACATTTAACTCCTTTATTATTTTGCAAAATAGCATTAACCAAAACAACAACAAGACAGAATGCGGTTACAAAATAGCTCAAAAGAAAATAAACCATCTATTTTATGGATGACTTAAATTGTATGCTAGGAATGACAAATGAGCTGGAAGGTCTTCTGCAAACTGTAAATGCTTCAGTGAAGACATTGGAATAAAATTCAAAAAAATGTATAAAGAACAGTTTTACGAGGATCGCTATAACAAACTTCCTGTTAGTTTAGACCCTCTTGTTTACAATAAAAGTTTAGTGGAGAGGATCCACCTAATTGTAAATGAGTGAAGGAATTCACCATATAAATAAAGAAATAGTTGAGTACTATAGAAGATGGGTATTAAAACTGAATCAAGAACAGAATTAATTAATAAAGACTCCCAGTGGTCCAATATAGATCCTGAACTGGACTCTAAATGACATCAGACAAATGGATTCTCCAAGAAAGTCTTTCCCATAAGATGCATCATCCAAATGTAGACCGTATACATACCCCGTAAAAAAGGTGGAAGAGGTCTTTTCTTTCATCAAGACAACAACTTTTGTTACTAACTTACATGTAACAACAAATGACTGGATATTAAATTTTTGAAACAACATGAAAACAGAAAGAAAAAATGTTCGCAAAAAAAATTACAAACAACATTTACATTTATATTTGTAGTAAATCAAAAAGCCAAGAACCAATTTGCAGCAAAAGATATGAAAAAAGAAAGCCAAGGATAAAGCCCTTGAACAGACAAACAACGCTCAAAAAACCTAATAACTCAAATAAACCCAATGTTGATAAAGTTTTCATCGATGGTTACAATCTGGATTAAAGTCTGATATTTTCTTTGTCAAGACCAGAGTCTTTTTACTGAGAATTTTCAAAACATACAACAAAATGGATCCAAAATATTCCAAATACCAAGAAACAATAGACCATCTAATCTCAGGATGTTCTATACTTGCCCCAAATGAATATAAAAATCGTCACGATAGAAATACTTACACTGGACAATGTGCAAACACTTTGGAAAATAAGCAAACACTGGTATGAACATCGGCCAGCGCCGGTTACAGAAATAAAGATCTTTTCATTATACCATCCACACAGACAGAAAAATTGAAGCAAATAGGGGACATTTTGTATAAAAAACTTGCCTTAATTGATATGAATTGTCCAGCGGAATGGGTCTCTCAACCAATTTTGAAAAACTATTACAAAACCTCCTTTGAAATATTTGTTTTTTGAAAAAAGAATAATACCAGTGGTAATAGAATATATAATTATAAAAATGGATAAATATATATAAAGAATCCTGGAAACCCAGCTTATATATATATATATAAAATTGTCTTATTAAGTACAGTAAGGAGAAAATGTCTATGATGCCATTTCATCGAGATAAAAAAAAAAAAAAAAAAAAACATGAACAGAAATCAAAGGACCAATAACTAATAATAATAAAATCGAATGATATGATAATAATAATAATAAATGAAGCCAACATATTCAAAAGGAAATTTCAAGTTGGTGAAGAAGTGAACATAAACTACAATACACCTTCTGAAGCGGCAAAGAACCTAAAAAGAAAGCAAAAGCAAATACCAAAATGCAGAAATGTTGACAAGATAAGCCTATTCATTTTCAATACCCTCCACGAAGCAAAGCTGATGTCGACAAATCCCCTAACCGTCAGTGTAGGGATAAAAGCTTTTTATTTCGCTGTAGAGAATCAATGCTTGCCAACTAGAAATTAACAAGCGCAACATAGGTTGAAAAATCGTGTTTGCCCGAAAATGCAGATTCTGTGTAAAATATCCAGAAACAATTGAATAAATAAAATCAGGTTCTACAGTGTTAGCACCCACTGAATGTAAAACTCGACATAAATTTCTTATGGGCCAATATCTGTATTGGAAAATATCTAACTTTTACGGGAAGGAAACCGCAAGAAACATTTATGAACATCATCCAGACTCGGTTACAGAGACAGTACCTGTAACAATTTTATGGGACTTTATTCTCGGACAGAACAATCAGAGCTAATCGCCCAGAAATCGTGATCAAAGACTACAAGAATTAAATATGTTTTCTTATTGACATGACGGTTCCTGCAGATTGTAATGCATGTTTGAAGAACTTAAAAAAAAAAAAAAAAAAAAAAAAACATGAAAATACAAGTATCTTGAAATGGAAAAAAATGTGTCACGTGAGGACGTCAATAATTCCAGATGTAGTTGGAGCCCTCTGATTGATTGGAAAACGTTCTGATAGACTAATTGTCGGGATTACTGGTAGCCTTAAAGAAATACAAAAAAAGTACTTTATAAAGAGCTTTATCTATGTAAAATGTGTGTGATCCTAGTTTGTTTTTTTTTGTTTTTTTTTTTTTACAAAAGAAAATGATCAGTGGAAAATGTCATGAAGCCATTTCTGATCTTAAGTCTCTGGTTGGCACTCGAAAAGAAACGAGTATACACCAGAGATCAAAGTAAATAATAATAATAATAATAATAATAGGTTGTACGGCACCCACCTAATATAAAACCCGACATGACAGAGTGGGCTAATATCTGCACTGGAAAATCTGCAACTTCTACGGGAAGAAAACTGAAAGAAACTGGTATGAACACCACCCAGACCCGGTTACGGAGATAGGACCTGTTACAATTCTATGGGATTAAAAATACACACTGACAGAACAATCAAGGCCAACCGGCCAGATATTGTTATTAAAGACCACAAACAAAAACGGTGCCTCCTTATTGATATGGCAGTCCCTGCTGACTGCAATGTATCTTTGAAGATATTCAAAAAGTTGTCCAAGTACAAGGACCTTGAAATAGAAATCTCGAAAATGTGGCATATGGGAACATCAACAATCCCTGTTGTTGTTGGAGCCCTAGGACTGGTTGGAAAAGATTGCAGTGGACTAATTGAAGGAATTCCTGGAAGTCCATGCCTCAAGGAGATACAAAAAAATGTTCTCACAAGTACAGCCCACACCTTACGAAGGGGCTTTATCTATGTAATTTAATTTTTTTTTTTTTTGTCAAGGGCTTTTCTAACCTCTAAAGAAAATGCCAGAAATCAAAGAAAATTTAATTTTTTTTTTTTTTTTTGTTTCGTCAGTGGATTTCTGTTTCTTTTATCATAACGCCGTCATTTCTCGTTTTACCTTATCAATTCGGAGTCCCTTGGGCAGGGACCCAAATAACGAAAGAAATGACGGTAAACGCCAAGAAATCTAAAAAATGATAATAAACAAAATAATAATAATTTTATAAGTATTAATTTCTTCTTTATAGCAACATGGTTAAATTTTATACAGTCAATGATGATTTGTCAGGCGAGTTCTCGATATTTCTTTTTTATCATAAAGTGCAATCAATCGTCATTCTATGATCGTTTTTGCAAGAGCAGATCATCATCAAGGGGTGATCGTACATGCCTTGTTCAGACGGTTGATCACGCCTGATAATGCACTCCTCACAGAAAATCTAGGCGTGGTCCGTTGAGCATTGCAAAACCTTTTTGAACAAAAAACAAACCGTTCCATTTTCTCTAAAACTTCGGTCAGGTCGGTGCATCTTATTAACAGCATGATAAGATATATATATATATATATATATATAATATAAATGGCTATTTTTGGTTGAGTGATTTTATATATATCATATATATATATATATAATTTTTTGAATAAAAAATTATTTCGCTGTCAAGCTTTTTGAATCTTTCTATACTTCGTTTTTGATTGGTTATTCTAGCTCTTGTAACAATTTTCCCAATGTAGGATCGTTAATTAATCTGAAACTTTTAAAACCATTTATTTTCTTTTTCAACATCATCATATACACAGAGTGTGTTGAAACAAAATATATTTTTGTAGTGATTTTATATCATATATGTTATAATTTTTATAAAAATAATTATATCTGCTCTACTTTGTATTGAGCACTCTTTTAAGAATAGTAATAGTTGGTTTTGAATTCATTCCGTATTTTATATACGTCAATAATATATATATATATATATATATATATATATATATATATTTAGTTGGTGCAAAAAATAATAATAATAATGTCGTTTTGGACGTATTTTTTAACGTCAAAACGACATTATTATATCATTATTTTTATATATATATATATATATATATATATGCATGCTCCAGGACATCCGTTTAAGCTCTCTAGGAACGAGACACTGGCGTATTTCTTACAGAGAAAAACGTTAAATCACCCCACCCCACCCTCTGCCGTGCGACGATGGCGTAGGTGTAAGATATCTAACTGTTGACGAATCGGTCGGGATTCGAACCCGGCTTGAAGCAATCGAACGTCTAGCCACACTGACGAGCTCTGATACAGCGAACCAGTCTGTCTGTATATTTATATAAATTAATCAAAAATTTAAAAACTTCAGCAGTATTTACTCACTTTCATTTATTGGACATTAAATTTCATAACTTATCATCTTCCATAATTTGCCTTGACTTTACAGTTAGCCTTAGGTATATTTATGAGTATTCTTAAATATAAATATTTAGAAAACTAACTATATATTTCCATTTTGTTTCTATATATTTGTTGCAAAATAAAATTAGAATAAATGTCAGTTTTGATATCCTTTTTCTAGAAAACTCGTCGTTGCTCACAGATAGATGTCACAAATCTATGAGTGAAACTGATTAGGTCGATGGTTGATTGAACACGATATCATAAGGTCTCATAATAGACAGATAGATGTCACAAATCTATCGGTGAAACTGATTAGGTCGATGGTTGAGTGAACACGATATCATAAGGTCTGTCATAATGGGCAGATAGGTGTCACAAATCTATGAGTGAAACTGATTAGGTCGATGGTTGATTGAACACGATATCATAAGGTCTGTCATAATGGGCAGATAGATGTCACAAATCTATCGGTGAAACTGATTAGGTCGATGGTTGAGTCAACACGATATCATAAGGTCTGTCATAATGGGCAGATAGGTGTCACAAATCTATCGAGTGAAACTGATTAGGTCGATGGTTGATTGAACACGATATCATAAGGTCTCATAATAGGCAGATAGATGTCACAAATCTATCGGTGAACCTGATTAGGTCGATGGTTGATTGAACACGATATCATAAGGTCTCTCATAATGGGCAGATAGATGTCACAAATCTATGAGTGAAACTGATTAGGTCGATGGTTGATTGAACACGATATCATAAGGTCTCATAATGGACAGATAGATGTCACAAATCTATCGGTGAACCTGATTAGGTCAATGGTTGATTGAACACGATATCATAAGGTCTGTCATAATGGGCAGATAGATGTCACAAATCTATTGAGTGAAACTGATTAGGTCGATGGTTGATTGAACACGATATCATAAGGTCTCATAATAGACAGATAGATGTCACAAATCTATGAGTGAAACTGATTAGGTCGATGGTTGATTGAACACGATATCATAAGGTCTCATAATAGACAGATAGATGTCACAAATCTATCGGTGAACCTGATTAGGTCGATGGTTGAGTGAACACGATATCAGAAGGTCTGTCATAATGGGCAGAAAGATGTCACAAATCTATGAGTGAAACTGATTAGGTCGATGGTTGATTGAACACGATATCATAAGGTCTCATGATAGACAGATAGATGTCACAAATCTACCGGTGAACCTGATTAGGTCGATGGTTGAGTGAACACGATATCATAAGGTCTGTCATAATGGGCAGATAGATGTCACAAATCTATGAGTGAAACTGATTAGGTCGATGGTTGATTGAACACGATATCATAAGGTCTCATAATAGACAGATAGATGTCACAAATCTATCGGTGAACCTGATTAGGTCGATGGTTGAGTGAACACGATATCATAAGGTCTGTCATAATGGGCAGATAGGTGTCACAAATCTATGAGTGAAACTGATTAGGTCGATGGTTGATTGAACACGATATCATAAGGTCTCATAATAGACAGATAGATGTCACAAATCTATCGGTGAAACTGATTAGGTCGATGTTTGAGTGAACACGATATCATAAGGTCTGTCATAATGAGCAGATAGGTGTCACAGATCTATGAGGGAAACTGATTAGGTCGATGGTTGTTTGAACACGATATCACAAGGTCTCACATAATGGCTAAAAATATGTCATAAATTCAGCCATGGTTAGTTCAAATTAATTAGCTAGTTATTGCTGATTCCCTATGACTCCCTTTTCAAAAAATGGTTATGTCAGTGTTTTTCGAAGCTCATGTTTCTCATAATGTTTCGCAGAAATTACATATTTTCTCTTCTAACTTCACGTGTATGTGTCCACTTCGTCCCAGTTTTCCTCATAACCTTTCTCCTTGTTCATATGTTCCATGATATTCCCAGTATCCTTCTGTAGAACCGTATCTCTTCCATATTATTCGTCATCTGTAAGAGATTGTAGTTCAGCTGTCTTTTTAATGATTAGAACGATAATTTCCTTCGTCTTTCTGCTTTGTTTATTTTCTGGAAAGCATCTTTCTTTATTCCTTAGCAGCTCCTTATCACCTGTCTCTTTATTACACGACCAATAGGGGTAATTTTCTGTACCTGCTTGATTCTGATGTTTACAATTCGAAGCTCATGCCTTTGGCTGCGTCTCTTGCTCCTTGTTTTCTGTTAGTCAGTGGTTAGTTTTGCATCAGTATAACTTTACTAAGATTAATGTTTGCCAATAATACATCTCTAAGGTTCGTCAGAGCTATGGCTATATAGCTGTAGCCTCTGTCTGTCTTTTTGTTATCAAACTCCTCCAAGGGTTTTGGAGATAGACCCCCATAACCATATATATTCTGAAACTACATTATCCAGGGTACTTTTCATTTTGTCCAAAGGGGTCCCCACCCCGGTGGTGGAGGGAAAATGTCCCCTTCCCCACCGATTTGTTTTCCGTTTGATATAAATTTAAATTGGAACAAGAGAATGACTCTTTGAATATACGCTCTTTTAGCGCTAGACGGCGTCGTCAGTGATGTTCTGAATTGGATCATTGGGCAGTTTCGGGTCTTTGATACGCCCTCTAAAAAATTAGGGTACTTGAATAAATATATTTTATTTTGAGCAAAGGTGCTCTTTGGGAGGTACAAACCGCCTACTGATTTATTTCTTTTGATTATAATTAATTTTAAATTTGAGCAATTGAATGACTCCTATCCAAAATATAGAAGGAGAAAGATGGAGGTAACATCGGTAAGATCAAAATGAGACATTATATACGTCAAGTTTAGCAAGAAATCACCAATCAGTGGGCAGTGCCTTACAATACATATTTCTTGCGATAATTCAACTGTCATATCAATGTTGAAATCTGTTCATTAATTCATTCAATCAAGTGTTGCATCAAAATACATATCAAAGGGGTCAGATCAAGCTGTTTTGGCACAAAACCCCACTAACTGTTTTTCCTTTTAATTTAAATTAAATGTAAATTTGTATAAGGGAAAGACTCCTATCCAAAATATAGAAGGAGAAAGCCAGAAGATGGAGGTTACATCGGCAAGATTATTTTGATTAAAAGGTGTCCACAAGAGGCACAAACCCCCGACTGAATTTTTTTTCCGTTTGATTTAAATTAAATTTAAATTTAAACAAGGAAATGGTTTCTATCTAAAATATAGGAGAAAGCCAGAATATGGAGGTCAAATCGGCAAGATCAAAATCAGATGATATGGACGCCAGGTTGAGCAAGAAATCACTAATCAATTCAACTGTCATATCAATGTTAAAATCTGCTCATCAAGTCTATGAAGTAATACATCAAACACTCACCCCCTACTGAATTTTTCTCTTTGATTTAAATTAAATTTAAACAACGGAATGACTCCTATCCAAAAAATAGAAGAAGAAAGCCAGAAGATGGAGGTCACATCGGCAAGATCATTGAGTGATACTGAAATTCATCATTTTTTTCCTCAAATTTTAACAATGATTTAAAATAAATCATCGTTTTCTTACAAAAAAATGTTTGACTCTACGCAGGGCGCTGGTAATTTGGCTAGTAGGTTAAATAAATTCTGCTTAGCCATCTCTTTCTCTTAGGATCATCTCGTTGTATTGATTAAATAAATCCGTACATTATTCTTCATCTGTAAAGCGAAGAGATTGCAGTTCAGCCGTCTCCTCAGGGATTACACATACTTGTCTTATTCCTCTTTCTATATTCTCTATTAATAAATCCTGGTATGTCTTCTAGGATCATCCCTTTGCATAGATTAAATAAATACGGCGAGATACATGCGAGCTTTAATTTGTTCCTGCTAATTGATGCTAAATCTGTTCCATATAAGTCGAGATTACCTGGTAGTTTAAATATGATATTGTATCGTATTTCATCGAGTGCTTTATCGTAATCTATGAAACACAGGTAAAGGTCATTTTGCATTTATATTTCTCCCTCTGAATAGTTTAAGATAGCCTTTCTTGTTCCAGTGTTTTGAACAAAGCTGTACTGTTCTGGCTATATTTTTTGTTTAATTCTGTATTTTGAATTTTATATCTTTGTTTTTATACCCATGTTTCGCTTCTTTTTCATCATTTCTTGAGTTGATATTATTTTGTTATTTCTTTTACGGTTTACCGTCCGAATTAACAGCATGATGTGCAGCTGATAGCGTACCGATGGCTGATATAGAAATATGACTACGAGAATCCTTAGCAAATGTAGTAAAGGAAGGCGGGAATAAATGAGTAAGTATCAGTATTAAGAAGACAGAATTTATGATCGTTAGGCAGAGGAACCGTTCAAGAGGTAAGCGACGAATGAGAGACGTCACAATCAATCAAGTAGACGAAATTAAGCACCTGGAAAATGTTTCTTAAAGAAGGCACAATAGAATTTGCGATAAACATCCAAAACCTAATCAAACTATTAAGAAACAGAAAAATTTCGTTAGAAACAAACAAAAGGGTTCTGACCATCCATATAATATTACTCCTTCTATATGGCATTGAATACTGGACATTTCCCTCACAGGTGAACTGGAGCCTTGAGACATCAAAGTGAAGGTTCTACAGATTGATAATGCTAATTCCACGGTCAGAACATTTGAGCCATAAAGAAATTTTAAATAAAATGGAAACGGAATGATCACTTTTGACAAGAATCAGAATGCGACAGCTGAAATTCTTGCGACACACAATGAGGAAAGAAGGCTTAGAGAATTTGTCACTCACAGGAAGGCAAGAGGGCGGGACAGTGAATGCAAGAAGGCAGTTTATAAGATATTGGCAGAAGCGATAACTGGGCTAATAGTAATAAGACAGACTTTATTTAGGGTGATGAAAGATGAGTTGTGGAGAGTCATGATCGCCAACGTCCTGAAAGGGCACGGTGCATCAAAGAAGATGATCACAGTTAGTTTAACTAGCCGAAATTCCTCAGCTTGCAATCTCTTCTTGATTTTTACCAGAAATTCGACGTCATTCTCTCTGATCTTAGGAAATGCTTTTTCGTCTCTTTTTTTAGAATCGTTGCGTTTCTGTCAAATTTATTCCGTAAACTTCTATGATCACTTGCTATATTAACTTTGTCTTTGACAGATACAGCTTTAGGGATATTGACTTTGTCAGCATTACCCTAAATTGTTTTGTTTTCGATGAGAACAGACGCTAATGGCAGATATAAAGTTTTCAGACGGTAATTTTTGACAAAAGACTAGAAACTTGTTTTGCTTTATTGTGTTAGTGTAATCAAATCACTACACTCTGAAATCGGAATCAAAATAGGATTTTACATCAATTACGAAAAGAAAGATTTTCTGCAATATTTATATTCGACTTTTGCTTATATTTGTTATTCATTTTGTTTAGCATGTGGAAAAGAGATTAAGACAACGCGAATAGAATCCAGTTTTCGCAATTGAAGTTCTAGTTTTTCTTTTATGCACAGAAGACGGATGATCCGTTTTTAACATTGTCAGAAATGAAAAGTCACTGGTTGATTAGACGTCATATTTTATCTATCTATCTATCTATCTATCTATTTATACTAGTCTGTTCTTTTTGTTTGTTTGTTTGTTTGTTTGTTTCTTTCTTTGATCTATCTATCTATCTATCTATCTATCTATCTATCTATCTATCTATCTATCTATCCTAGTCTGTTCTTTCTTTCTTTCTTTTATCTATCTATCTATCTATCTATCTATCTATCTATCTATCTATCTGTTCTTTTTCTTTCTTTCTTTCTTTCTTTCTTTCTTTCTTTCTTTCTTTCTTTCTTTCTTTGTATCTATCTATCCTAGTCTGTTCTTTCTTTCTTTTATCTATCTATCTATCCATCTATCCTAGTCTGTTCTTTCTTTCTTTCTTTCTTTTTTTTATCTATCTATCTATCTATCTATCTATCTATCTATCTATCTATCTATCTATCTATCTATCAGAGCCGCTTTAATATCTATCTATCTATCTATCTATCTATCTATCTATCTATCTATCTATCTATCTATCTTAGTCTGTTCTTTCTTTCTTTCTTTCTTTCTTTCTTTCTTTCTTCTATCTATCTATCTATCTATCTATCTATCTATCTATCTATCTTAGTCTGTTCTTTTTCTTTGTTTGTTTGTTTCTTTCTTTCTATTCTTTGATCTATCTATCTATCTATCTATCTATCTATCTATCTATCTATCTATCCTAGTCTGTTCTTTCTTTCTTTCTTTCTTTCTATCTATCTATCTATCTATCTATCTATCTATCTATCTTAGTCTTTCTTTCTTTCTTTCTTTCTTTCTTTCTTTCTCGGTCTGTTCTTTTTCTACCTACCTACCTACCTACATACCTATCTATCGCTTAGTGGCATTTTTGAACAGGATCAATCCGTGGTGTTTAATCTCCTCTTTAAAAAATAGTGAAGCGTGGTCACAGAGATTCTTATCCTGCCACAGCCCCACCTTCCTTGTACTAAAGTGGGAGGATTGATGGATGTTCATGCTAATGTCGTAGCAGTCGCAGAGAATTGGCAGAATTTTCTGTTTTGGCACCTATTTATGCGTATGGACATTCTAGATAAAATCAAATTCGTGTAACATCCTATAACAGTGGGGACGTTGGTAAATATCTATCTGATTAAAAAATCGAGCTTCCATAAATGTGTTTTATGTCTATCGGCCTCCGCATTCGAGTAATCTTCGTCATGAATATGTGTTATCCGGCAGGGATCGGACCTGGATTATTATTTGATTCGGCATGTTTAATCGCTCGGTCAAAGAGAACACAACAGTAAGCAAGACTCTATAGTAATAAGAAATTAGTAATAAGAAACTCGCCCATGTCTTGACTAAGAACCAGGTGCTTTTTCAGTTCTTGGCCCTGTCTCTAAGTAACATGTACGTATTTAAAATTCATTCTTTTATAACTTCTTGATTCCCCCCCATATATATATATATATATATATATATATATATATATATATATATATATATATATATATAATAGTGTCATAAAAACTTCGGAGAATTCCAGTAAGGTATCTTTAATCATTTCTAAGATATATTGTTTCAGAGCTTAAGCTGACAACTGCACAATTTTGCTGTTGCACGATTGGACATTTGATCTGTGAACCAAACGCCTGGACGCAGTTTTGAAGTGTTTTTTTTTTTTTCGATGTAAACGATCAGACTACCCACCTTTCTCGGTTTCGGGTGTGTGCTGGGGAAGTGTAGTCGCAGAAGTCGGTCTTTGCTAAATCTTGACTATGTATCACGTGCTTTTTTCAGTTCTTGGCTCTGTCTCTAAGTAACATGTACGTATTTAAAATTCATTCTTGTATACCTTCTTGATTTTCCTACATATATATATATATATATATATATATATATATATATATATATATATATATTATTTATTTAAATTATTTAAATATAAATATGTTATAAAATCGCTAAAAATAGCCATTTTAAAAAAAAAAAAAAAAAAAGGAAAAATGGCTATTTTGTATTGATTCTATAACATATTTATATTATAGTTTTAAATAATTAATTATATCTGCTCTACTCTGTATTGAGCACTCTTTTAAGAATAGTAATTTTTGGTTATTGGAATTCATTCCGTATACACCAATCATATACTTGTATATATATATATATATATATATATATATATATATATATATATATATATATATATATATATAAAAAATAAACTCTCCCAAATCTTGACTAAGAACCAGGTGCTTTTTCAGTTCGTGACCCTGTCTTTAAGTAACATGTACGTATTTAAAATTCATTCTTTATAGCTTCTTGCTTTTCCTACATTTTTTTATCTTTTGTTTTTTGTTTACAAACTGGTAATTTACTTAAGTATTAATCTGTACTTCCGCTATTACAAATTGTTTTAGTTTTCATAATTGTCTTATTTCCAACAGTACTGAATTTAATCCCCCACGTCTTAAGTTTTCTATTAAATTTGTTGAATATAAGTTTTTCTTCTTCTTTCTCTTCGCTTTTGTTTTATATGATTGCTGCTGCTATTTATTTAATTTTTCTTGTTTTTCAAATTTTTCTTCTGCAAGTGAAGCGAATTTAATGTCCCCCCACCATTTTTGTTAGCATTTTTGTAAGGGGCAACAGGTCTTATACTAAAGTCAAAACTTAAAACCTAATTACTAAAAAACAAATTTTTGTTGTTGTTTCCCTCACCTTTTCAGTAATTATTCCAGTCGAAATGTCGGTGACGAAACCGACTATCCAACTCTGAGTTCTGCGTGAGGGCGGAGGAACTCACTGAGTCAACGGCTAGCTACCTAGAATTGGTGTCTCCATAAACCACCGTAGGAAAGGCAACAGGAAACCACTCCACTATCATTCCCAAGATAAATCATGGCGAACAACTCAGATTATACGAAACCTAACGGCGTCGGTAAGGGCTGACATTCGCAACAGGTTTCCCTTGGCCGTCATCCAGCAACTGCTAGCATAAAACGACGTAAAGGGGATAGAAGTCCACGGAACCTATCCCTGGCCCGGAAAGGAACGGTATGAGCGACAGGCGTCACCGGACCATCATCCTGTAGCCGCACGCATCAAACACAAAATAACCCCTGGGCATTGAACAACTGCGGTCAGTTTGATAATATTAGACAAGAGATGAACAGGCTTAACATCAACATTCTAGGTGTACGTGAAAGCAGATTGCCAAAACAACGGTGAATTTGTCAGCGACAAACACAGGATAATTTATGCAGGCGGCGAAAAGAACGACAAAGGAGTAGGACTAATACTAGATAACGGATTTATGAAATGCGTTCTAGGAAGGAATTCGGGTAGCGAAGCTGAAAGAGAAGCCTTTCAACGGGGCTATTATAGTAGTGTATGCACCAACGATACAAGGGAGGTAAGGTAAGAGGACATCGAATCGTTCTAGTCCATGATGGCCAGTATCAGGGCTGTAAACAAATCACAGGAAGTCATCATTATCATTGGAAGCATAAACGCCAGGGTAGGCAGGGGATATAGAAGGAAGATTAGCATTAAGAACCAGCAACTAAAAATGGATCCAATGGTGCACAGCCAAGTAATAGCCAATACATGGTTACATGAACACCCGAGACGACCATGGACATCGAGGTGCCCAAGTTTAAATATCTGGGAAGCGTCTTGACAGAGGACGGTAAATGCGACATTGAAATCCGTAGGCGTATTGGGATAGCCAAGGACACATTCCAAAAGCTGGGCGTAGTAATGCGAGACGAGGATTGGTAGCAAAGAAAAGAATACTAGACTGTTACGTGACAACTGCCCTTCTTTACGGCAACGTAATGTTGGACGATTTCCTCAAAGATGAAGAAGAGACTCGAGATGTGGTTCTACAGAAGGATGCTAAGGATATCACAGACCGAGCGTGTGAGTAACGGTGAGGTCTTACTGAGGTTGCAAACAAGGAGGGGGCTTAAACTTAATATCAGGAAGAGGCAGCTGTGACACATAGTAGGGAAGGAGGGCCTGGAGAATCTGATACTCACAGGTCGAATAGGGGCAAAGAGAGACAAGAGAAAACAACGCGTGACATGCCTGGCGGACTTAAGCAAGTGGATGACAGAACGCGGTCTGGTGGGGGGGTGGAAGCAGAGGGAAGGAACTTGTTGAGAGCTGCAAGGGATAGAAGGAGGTGGAGAGCCATGATCGCCTACGTCCTGAAAGGACATGGCACATAAAAAGAAAGATTAGACAAGCCTGATCACTCTCTCTCTCTCTCACACACACATAGACACGCACCCCCCATATATATATAACACAACTGGACTCTAGCTTGAGTAATAAGACTGTATAATTACTCTCTAAGCTTAACAGAAGAATCGTGATGAAATTGATCACAAACGAAAATGACATGTTCATCATTAATTAATCATAGTTAAGGATCCGAAGCTCATGAAGTAATGAAATAAAGTATATATATATATATATATATATATATATATATATATATATATATATATATATATATATATTATTTGTATATTTAGGCAGCAATCTTTCGTTTATGCATGTTTCATTAAAAACGACAGACAAGGTACTACGTTTGAGCTTTTTATTTAATTTTTCTTGTGTTCGTCTAAGAGCTTTCTTTTCTGGACAAAGAGTGTGTAAAAACTGTCCAAATGTTTTATTTCCGAGTGCTTTCGGCTCTACCTTTAGCCATTATCAACGATGATTTGATTTTTCAGCTTACTTGAGTATGTGCATTATGTGTATGTTTTAGTGTGTGGTAGGGATGTTTTAATTTACGAATACGGTTAGCACCTCGTGGCCTTGTTCGTAGTTAATGTTGTTAAGAGTTGGCTTTTTCTTTTTTATTATTAAAGCTTCTAGTCTAGGTGGATGCAGTTAATATATTTGTGTTTTCTACTAGTATGTTTCTAATAGAGTCGGGTAAATTTGTGTGTGTGTTTAAATGGGTTCTAATGGAGCTGTGATCAGACAGGTGTAACGTAAGACGTCTGGATAAGCATGTGGTTGTTTAAACGATATAATTATTTATGAGTCCCGTTTGATCAGGAACACAGTTCCTTAAGGGGCATTTGAACTCATAGATAATGTTCATTCTTTGTAATTTTGACTTAGCTGGTGTGTTGTTATTTTTGAGGATGTGATTGGCTGTCTTGAATTTTTTATAATAGATAATTAATTTGATTTTTTTATTCGGGTCAATTGGGGTAGTGTATTTCAGATAATGTCTTAGTGAAGATTCGTCTTGTTTGTAATTAAGGTGCATTTATTTTTTGTAGTAAATGTGTATGTAATTTTTGACTGTGTGTTCACTATCGTTATTGCTTACTTTGGGGGGATATATATATATATATATATATATATATATATATATATATATTCCAGTATAATTTTCCGATTTATTCAAGATGATATTCGCCCTCTCTAACGTGGAGTAACAAGATGCCTTATATGTTTCACGTATTCCAAGTCTTTTTTTCACTGTCATTAGGATTGATATATTTGAAACTCCTATCTCACGTGCCAAACGTCTTATGGATTGAGTTGGATCTTTTCTAATTGATCTCTTTATCTCTAAGTTGAAATGATTATCTCTCTTCCTTTTGTGACCTCCTGATCCAGTTTTCCGTTCTACTGTTGCGTCTTTTTAAACTTATTCACCGTTCTCGTGAATGAACTTTGAGGGTGGAAGACAGAGTATGAATGTTGGTGCCATTACTGAAGGCCCGAATGATGTTTTTTTTGTCTCTCCTGATTGTTCAGTTGATAAGGGAATGAATCTGGAAATTTCCAGCTGAATAACTCAAAATGTTTTTCAGTTATTCTTAAGATAAATAGTCAAGATGGCTAAACGTATTACCTGAAAACATGGTAAAAAAAACTCAATAAATTTAGGAGTTTTTTTTTTTTAGGTATTAAACATTTTGTGTGATGGATAAATATGCTGTTACACGTTTTGGACAATTCTTCTGTTACAACCGATATGTATATTTCTTTTAATGCGAAAGAATAATAGATAGATAGATAGATAGATCTGACAAGCATATTTTTTTAAACTTTACGAGTTACTCATGTTGATATCACTAACGATTATGCAAATTAGATTGCTGTCGCTTATTTAGTATTCAGACTTACCAAAATTGCTGCCGTTTCCCATTCGCTTCCTTCAAGATGATGTCTCCGCATTGCAATCAGGTTTGGCCAAAACGATGGCAACAAACCCAAAGATAGGCCAAACTGTTTGAGTTGAGAAGTTATTGTCCTTCAGTCTTACAGGGTATGGAATTATACTGTCATGTCCTCGGCTGGACAATGAATGATTTTAATAAAATAAAAAATACAAAAATTGTTATACAGTTGAAATGGCTATATGCAACACTAAGTTCTATGCTAACAGTTTGTTCTCTGGCACTTCTTGCTTGTGGAACTCTCTTCTGAATTCTTGCTTTCCAGCCAACTTTGATGCTCAAAAATTTAAATCCAATGTCAATCATTATCTACTGACTTCCTGATCACTCTTTCATAAGTATATATATATATATATATATATATATATATATATATATATATTCGTAAATAGAGACTAATATTCCTGATAATGCAAGCCTCTGCCAAAGGATTGAGTCCTCTAGGTCACGTGCATGTTTATGAAAAAATAAATATGCAAAATTTGCGTTTTTCTCCGCCGGACACCGATAGCTTCATGGTTAGAATCTCCGACTGATTTCGAATCGTTCGGGTTTCTGTCCAGGTTTAAGGCGAACGGATGTCTAGCCACGCTAAGGTGCTGCGGAACAGTCTGTCTGTGGGTGATGTGTATGTATATATATATATTTCTTTCTTTAACCATTGTAATTTCTACTCCCACTTTTCGAATTTGTTTTTCTTTTTACCTCTCTCTTTTTTATTGTTATATATTTTTGTTCGCTTGTTTCTTTGCTTCTCTCTTTTTTCTTTTTCTTCTTCTACTTTTCTATATACAGATAAAAATGACTTTCGCCTATTGTTTTTGGGGTCAAACTAATTTTTAATCTTACTAATATAAAGACGCCTTCCCGACCACCCAGTAAAAAAGTTTACTCATCCTAAGGTATTCTATTGGTAATTATAATTTTGGATATAAAAGAGATTTAGGCCAAAAAAGTGACTCACTTATTTCCTGCAACTACTAATCAATAGAAACATAACCGAACAGCTTTAAATAAAGAATAATAGAGATATAATTTACTTATAATACGTAATATAGTTCGAAATATTTAATAATCTATGGGTCCTCCTTTATTTTGAATAACCTTTTCAACCCTTTTTGGCATTGACTTGATTAGGTTCTGGCAAATCTCATCTCCAAGCATTGAATTCCATTCGGATATGAAATTCACAATCAAATCCTCTTTGTTGCTCAACTGCTTTCTCGAGAATCTGTATTTTATAATGCTCCATAAGTTTTCTATGGGGTTGAGGTCAGGAGATTGGGTCGGCCATGTCATAACACTCACCTGCTTCTCATCAAAGTATTCCTTCATCAATTTTGATTTGTGACAGGGAGCATTATCCTGCATAAAAAGGAGCTTGGTGGGGTCGATTTGCACCCTTTCAGCAGAAGGGAGTAAAGACTCTAAAATTCTCTTGTACTGCTCGCTCCCGAGGGTCTTTTCAATAGGTTTTAAGAAACCAGTTCCATGAAAAGAAAAGCATCCCCAGAACATTATACTGAACGGATGCTTGACAGTACTTACTGCTAAATTCAAAGAGCTTTCAAAGCTTCTTCTTCGGATTTTAGATCGCTTATCCTTTGAATTTAGCTCAACTTTCGTTTCATCGGAGAAGAGAACATTTAGTAAAAAAACCCAGGTCTGTCACTTTTATCGAACTGCAATATATATATATATATATATATATATATATATATATATATATATATATATATATAAAACTTATCTTAGCTGACGCGTTTCGTCCTCTGATAAACTTTATCACGCCAAATCTAAGGATTTTATTTTGTTAAAAGTATTTATAAACAAAATAAAAAATGCTGATATTTCTTTTTGTTTTTAATTTCAGGACATCCATAATTATGCATAAGCGTATCTGAAAGGTCTGGTTAAACTATGGAAGATGCTAATGGATGTAATTTAAGGTTTAATAAACAAAAATCAAATCAGACAATGTTCTTTTTGTTGAAGATTTTTTTTTTAATATAATGGAATATTTATTTCTAATATTTTAGTTTGGGAAATCATTTACGCATAACTGATTCCTTTTCTTTTGTTTATTACCTTTCTTAATAATCATTTTCGTTTACTTATTCTCTTGCACTCAATAAATCCTTGCATCTTAGAGGCTTTATTGCCGTGCTTGAGGACTAAATGATTAAAAAGAAAATTCTCATTTTTGTTAAATTTTGGCAAGTGACTTAGTCCAAAAGGTTTTCGACATTGTTGAGTTTTAAATATCAAAACAGAAGCTGAAATAAGTTTACCATCAATGATTTTCTTTCCTGTTGTATATTTGCTTTGATTTCAAATAAAATTGCATGTCATTACGTTTCTTTCTTTTTATCGCTTTATATATTTCTTCTTACCTATTACCTACAGACCTCTTTTTCTTTCCTCGCTGCCGAGTGTCGTTTTCCTCAAATGCATCAGTCATTTTTTTTTTTTTTCCAAGATAAATTTTCCTTTCTTTTTTCTTTCAATTTTTGACAGATTTCTTTTTCTTTTTTTCGTTCAAATTCATTTAACATGTTTCTTTGTATCCTCAATTTTAAAGATTTCCCTCCTTTTTATACATTT